CGCAGGAATCGCTGCCTCAGCAACGGGATGCTTACCTCGTCCGCCCGCTCGGGTCAGGCGGGCCCGGGAGGATGGGAGGGTGACTGCTGAGCGGGAGCCGCCTCGTCTTCCCCCCGACGTGTTGCCTAGTAAGTGTGGGAGCGATCCCTGCCGCGCCAGGGCCGCCCAGGTGCCGAGCCTTCCCACGAGCCGCCTGGGGAGGTCTTGGAAAAATGCCGTTTCCGAGCTGGACCACACGCCCACTTTACAGATGCGGAAACGGTACCAGGAAAGCTCGGTGACTTGCCCTGGCCCACTTAATCGTCCGCTACCCGGGGCAAGCCGAGGGTCAAGGTACCGGCCCCTCCTACTCTCACCCGAGCCCACGCCCAGCCGCTCTGCGGGGGAAGCGGCTTTCCTAGTTTCTGTCTCTGCCCTAGGCCAGCAATGCAAGGTGATGAAATCCACCTGGGCTTTGAAGCGAACACAGGAACCAGAAGAAACACATTTGCTGTACATGATGATAAATATGTATAGTCTAAAAGCCAAAGCAATCTGCTTGCAATAAAGCTCCCCACACCTTTCTGTCCTGGAAAGGCCTCTGGCTCCCGCCCATTCCACACTTACACGGTTTCACAATCATGTCACTTTCTTTCACCCTCCTTACAAGGGATAAGACTTAAGAAGTAGATTTAGTTTCCATTTGGTAGAGCTTTTCCTTTCGTTTTCTTGGAAACTCTCTGTTTCTTCTCAGCAATGACCTTCCCCCTAAAGCACTCCAATTATTCTCAGATTTTGTCTTGACTGTTTTCTCAGCTGTGGGACAGTCCGTTTCAATATCCTTGTCTCTGTCCACATTTTTTGAACCAATGATCACAGCCAAGCCTTGTCCCTTAAGGGCAGAAAAAATGGGGGGAGGTTTCAGGGTTTCTGGGGAACAGTTGCATCAGGATCCATCATGAGGCTTCGTCCCAGTTTCCTTTCTTCCTGGAACACTCATCGTTCACAAATTCACCTAAATCACAAGATACATGTCCACCTAGCCCAGACTTCTTTTTCAGAAACTAACAGGCGTATAGGAAATTTGGGGTGTTGATAATAAAGTAGCTAGAAGCTTACTGAATGTCTCAACTGGATGAATGGACTCTAAACCCTGCACTGTCCCTGAACCTCTGAGCACATAGGACCTGTTCTCTGGGGGCATGCCGACTTCACAAGACTGTCGCCCAGGGCAGCCCAGGAGCATCCGCTTCCGGGAGCTGGGGCCCTTGGACTGCTGCCAGCTTAACCTTTCTATTTTCCCCAAAGCTTTGCCTGCCCACATCTTCAGCTCAGACTTTCACTTCCTTGTTTTTCCTTTTACACTTCCTCCCTCTTCTAAGGAAATACTTTCCTATCCAAACTCTATGTATGGTTCTTGGGATGGCCTCTAAAACTTAGGGCAATGCTTAAGTCCGGTGTGTTGTTTCCGACATCTGGGTGGTTCCTCGGTTCCCCAATTTATAATAACCTTAGCTGAGGAAACTCTGAATAATAGTAAATAAATAAATAGCAGAGTTTTATCCAGAAAATAATATAAAGGGGATCCCTTTATATTTTTTTGAGACGGGGTCTCATTCTGTCGCCCAGGCTGGAGCGCAATCTCAGCTCACTGAAACCTCTGCCCCCTGGGTTCAAGCAATTGTCCTGCCTCAGCCTCCCTAGTAGCTGGGATTACAGATGTGTGTTACCACGCCCGGCTAATTTTTGTGTTTTTAGTAGAGACAGGGTTTCACCATGGTGGTCAGGCTGGTCTCAAACTCCTGACCTCAGGTGATCCGCCCGCCTCAGCCTCCCGAAGTGTCAAGGGGGCACTTTGGCACTTTAAGGGGGGATTACACTGTGCCTGGCCAATATATCCCTTTTTTAAAAGAGCTGTTTCCTGATATTAGCCTTGTTAACACTGTGGATATTTGCCTTCTTTGAACAAAATCAGGATTCTCTCAGTAGCTCTGAGTTAATCAGTTTTATTTATTTCTGAGTGATCAGTTTTATTCATCTCAACTCTCACACAAAGTGCCTGCTGCGTATGAGGCCCTGTGCTGAGAATCTTCCTGTAGTTTGTCTCCGTAGTCATTGAACTGTCTTTAAGTCTAGTGAGGACAAGCCTGAAGTGCCCAAGACCTTAGTGATGAAGTACCATAGCAAAAGTTAGGGTTTTCCCAGGGAGGGGCTGCGGAAGGTTGCGAAGGGGTTCCGGGGAGGCTTTACGGCAGAGGCAGCATTTGAAATGAGCCTTGCAGTCTAAGATTCCGCATAGGAGAACCGTCTGAGACCAGCTTGGAGGTGGGAAAGCAGGCGGGCTAGCGGGGGTGGGGTGGGGAGAAGGGACTACTTTGTTAGGTCCCGGCTCCCAGCAGGCTTCCTTGCTCTGACAGAACAGTTCCTATCCCACTTGAGTGGAGCGATTCCTTCTGTTGGGAGATGCCTTTTCTCCCTTTCCCCCTTTCCTTCCTTGTTCCCCCCCCCCAGACAATACAAATATTCCATTTGTATTTCAGATAATACAAATATTCTCAGGCTACAAAACTCTGGAGGTAAGATCTGAATCAGACTGAACCGTACAGGTTCTCAGATCCAGTAGGGCCAATTACACTGTTTTAAAAAATTAATTTTTTAAAAAATCGTATGAGTGCGAAAGGGACTGGGGCGTGCACCTTAGCTATGCTGGAGAATTTTTGATTGCCCTTTTTTTGGGATCAAAAACATGTCCCTTTAGCTTAAAAACACAGCTGTGACTATTCTGAACTCCTCTTTAAGGTTCCAAAATCCCTTTTACAAAATCTTATTAGGGCAGTTTATGTAAACGTGCTCCCTTTTAAGGTTAGTACTCCCTTCAGCAAGAATATTGTAGGAGATGGGTGTGTTTCAGGGAAGAGAAAAATTAACTGGAAATGACGAAATAGTAAAAAAAAAAAAAAAAAAAAAAATTCTTCTGAGCTTCCCTTTCTTGTTTCTTGAAACAACTGACCAAATTTAAAAGACTTTCAGCTCCAGTCTTTGTGGACAGATACTGAAAAGAAAGTTGAAGCATATTAGTCTGCCCTTGTTTTCATGTTCTATGATTCTAAACTTTCTAGCTCAATAGGATTGGAGACGTGGGGATAAAAAGTGATTGGGATGAAAGTAGTTCTCATGAAACAAAATACAATAACTAAAGAACCATGACTTGTATTTGCACATAGCTGTTTCAAATCTATAAAGTGCTTATCCACCCATAACTTATACATCAGCACAGTTGTTCCTTGAGTAGCCCTGGGAGTTAGGGTGAGCAGGTGGTATTACTATCCTAGAGAGGTGGAATCACCTTAAAGTGGCAGAATGGGCTTATACTGAGTTTTGATTCTAAACTTTTCCACTCCTACGTGATACTCTCCAAGTAATATTGTAACATTCTCATCAAATTGAGCCTTTGTAGAAAGAAGGCCAGATCTTCACCAATAATAATAATTTGTATACCTTTGCAACTCAGCTTATGTGAACAATACAAATTCACATAAACCTTGAAGTGGAAATTATTATCTTTATTTTTTTAAGACAAGTTCTTGCCCTGTTACCCAGGCTGGAGTGCAGTGGTGCCATTAGAGCTCACTGCAACCTTGAACTCCTGGGCTCAAGCAATCCTCTTGCTTCAGCGTCTCGAGTAGCTGGGGCTACAGGCATGCACCACCATCCCTGACTAATTAAAGAAAACATTAATAGAGATGAGTTCTCCACTATGTTGATCAGGGTAGTCTCGAACTCCTGGACTCAAGTGATCTTCTTAACGTGCTGGGATTACCGGTATGAGCCACTGCACCCAGCCTCATTATCTTTAAAAGCTTGAGAGTAATAAGCCAAGAAGCTTATAGAGTCTGAGCTCTGAGAATAAGGATTAGCATTCCGACAAGGACCTGGGGCCCTAGTAGAATACAGTCCTACTGGAATGCAGATTGCCTTGTCCCATAGAACCTGGCTGGAGGAGGTTAATTGTAAAGAGAGCAGAGTGGTTAAGACATGGCTTTGGCTCCTGCTTTTCTCATTTACTGGCTGTGGCAGAACCTGCGAGCAAGTTCTTTAAATCCTTGAAGCTTCCAATTCCTCAAATATAAGTGGCGTGGTAATAATGAGTAACTGATACGGTGATGAAGAAGCTGTGAGCTAGCTCATATAAAAGGACCAACAAATGGAAGTTGTTGCCTTGCTTCTATTACACTAAAGATCACAGCACACAGATCCTGGAGCTGAATGGCCTGGTTTAGAATCTTAACTCCACCCCTTACCAGTTGTAAGACTGTAGAGAAGTTAATTAACCCCTCTCTGTCTTGGTTTCCTCAACTGTAAAATGAAAATAAGAGTAGTACCTACCTCATAAGGTTATTATAAGGATTAAATGTAAATTGCACATAACATGATGTTAAATAAGTGCTTGCTAATGATAACACTTCTCACTTCTTTTTATAAAGTGTCCCTGACTTGGTCCAACTGATTTTTGTGTTTGACTGAATTTCCATGTCATGACAGTGAAACTTTTCAGAAATACAGTTAAAGTTTTAGAAATAGGGAAAGAACATACTTTCATCGTTAAAAAGTCTTACAATTCAGGGTATCAGTTTACAAGCATTGCGAATTCTGGATACGGAAGTAAGCAGAACTTGCTACACTTCCTCCAGGTCACCAGGCCCTGCCCAGTTGTGGTGAGTGGGTTAAGACTGCCTTATAGTTTGGCCCCATCCTTTCCTCTTGCCTACACTAGCTATATTTAGGCAGATCTAGGTGAGTTTAATATGTTGCATATGGCCTTGGGTCCAGCTGATCCCAGAACAGATGGCTACATGGGCCAGAATGCTTAAGTCCAATTGTAGAGCAACGCCCCAGACAATAAAACATCCAGAAAGTGGATACATGTATTCCAGCTGGGCTGAGCTGTGGTCTGGTTCCCAACCGCCACCAGCTCCCAATTAGCCACTACACCTGTTCGACAGGTAAAAACCTGTCAGGGTTTTATCCTTCTCATCCTCATTGGGAGCAAAATGTCAGGTGTGATTATAATTGGAATACAGATGTGTAGTGAAGGTTCTGGGGCTAGTATTTATTTTTTTCCAAAATGGAAGAGCTTTGCAGTTTTCTGATTATAAAAGTAAATTCCGGCTGGGCTCAGTGGCTCACTCTTGTAATCCCAACACTTTGGGAGGCTGAGGCGGGCAGATCACAAAGTCAGGAATTCAAGACCAGCCTGACCAACATGGTGAAACCCCATTTCTACTAAAAATACAAAAATTAGCTGGGCATGATGGCGTGCACCTGTAATCCCAGCTACTCAGGAGGCTGAGGCAGGGCAATCGCTTGAACCTGGGAGGCGGAGGTTGCAGTGAGCCTAGATTGTGCTACTGTACTCCAACCTGGGCAACAGAGCGAGACTCCTTCTCAAAAAAAAAAAAAAGTAAACCCCATTTTAGAAATATTCAAATAATGCAAAAATTTCAACAATACAGAAAAGACAAAAACCACACATACTACCACCACACAAAGAAAACTACTCTAAACCTGTTACAGTATATCTTTCTAGGTGTTTTTGTGTATATATATATACATTTGAATATTGAACTTTATGGATACCTCTTACCAATTCATGTGAGTATCCTCTTTTCTACCAAATATACATGTGTAATTTTAATTGATAAATAGCATTCCACTTCATGAGTGTACTATAATCTATGTTAAGCCAATCCCCTGTTGGCGTTAGATTATTTCCAAGTTTTCAGGAAGTCTGAGTTTACAATTGCCCTTACAGGAGTTTGCTGTGACTTAGATCTTGATCCAGAGATGGAGAAATCAGGCTCATCTTCTGCCATCTCTGAGCAGCAGCTGCAGAGGCAAGAGGGATGGAGTAACACCAAAACAGACTTGGCTGAGCAGGGTCTCATTTCATCTGAGAGGTGGCTTCAACTGCATGGGCTTAAGAGCAACAAATTGACCTTGAAACAGATTTTGTCACAGATCGGATTCCCACATTGTGAAGGTACAGTACTCACAAACAACCAGCATGCTGCCATTTAGCCTTTGAGGTGGCTGCATCAGCTCTGAAGGCCCCTCAAAAACCACAGGTCTCTGAGCTTGCTTTGATCTTATATCCGTATTAGTAGAAAATACTTGCACGTGTGCCCCCAATATATGTGTATTAAGTAGACGTACGACTGTCAATCCATGTTTTAAAGAATGCTTAATTTCATCCTTTTTATTTTTTACTTTTTAAATTGACAGATAAAACTGTATGTATATATCATGTACAACACGATGTTTTGAAGAATATATACATCGTGAATGGCTGTGTCTAGCTAATTAACAAATGCATTGCCTCATATAGTCTTTTTTTGTGGCAAGAACACTTACGCACTCTTTCTGTGTTTTTCAAGAATGCAGTCCATCATCATTAACTATGATCACCATACTGTACAATAGATCTCTTGACTAGATGTCCTAATTGTAATGGGATATCCTTTGACTAACATCTTCCTGATTCCCACTGCCACAACCGCCCCAGCCTCTGATAAGCATCATTCTACTTGCTACTTCTATGAGATAAATTTTTTAAAATTCCACATGAGTGAGGTTATGTGGTATTTGTCTTTCTGTGCCTTGGTTATTTTGTTTAACATAATGCCCTCGAGGTTCATTCATGTAGCAAATGACAGGATTTCTTTCCTTTTTATGGCTGAATAGTATTTAATTGTGTGTATACACTATGTTTTCTTTATCCAGTCATCTATTGATGGATACTTAGGTTGATCTCGTATCTTGGCTGTTGTGAATAGTGCTGCACTAAACAAGAGAGTGCAGATATCTCTTTGACTTACTGATTTTATTTCCTTTGGATATATATCCAGTAGTAGGATTGCTGGATCATATAGTAGTTCTATTTTTAGTGGTTTGAGGAAACTCCATACTGCTTTCCATAATAGCTATACTAATTTACATTCCTATCAACAGGGTGTATGGGTATCCTTTTCTCCATATCCTTGCCAACACTTATTTTTTGATATTAGTTGTTCTGACAGGAGTGAAATGATAGCTCATTGTGGTTTTGATTTGCATTTCCCTGATAATTAGTAATAGTGAGCATTTTTTCATATACCTGTTGTCCATTTGTATGTTTTCTTTTGAGAAATGTCTATTCAGGACTTTTGCCCATTTAAAAACCAAGTTTTGTTTTAATATTTAAGTTCCTTTAATATTTTGGATATTAACCCCTTTTCAGATGTGTAGTTTGCAAATATTTTCCCCCATTCTGTAGGTTGTCTCTTTACTCTGTTGATTTTTTTTCCTTTCCTTTAGAGAAACTTTTTAGTTTGATGTAATCTCATTTGTTTGTTTTTGCTTTTGTTGCCTGTGCTTTTGAGGTCATATCCAAAAAATCATTGCTCAGATCAGTGTCATGGATATTTTCCCTTTTTTCTTCCAGTAGTTTCATATTTTCAGGTCCTACAATTAAGGCTGTAATTCATTTTGAGTTGATTTTTGTATTTGGTGGTGATAAGGGTCTAATTTTATTATTCTGCCTGTGGCTATACAGTTTTCTCAGTACCTTTTATTGAAGAGATTGTCCTTTCCCCATTGTGTGTTCTTGGCACCCTTGTCAAAAATCAATTGACTGTACATATGTGGATTTATTTTTTGGCTCTCTATTCTATTCCATTGATCTATGTGCCTGTTTTTATGCCAGTATCATGCTGTTTTGATTAGTATAGTTTTGTAGTATATTTTTAAGCCAGATAGTGTGATGCCTCCAGGTTTGTTCTTTTTGCTCAAGATTGCTTTGGGTATTCTGGCTTGCTTTGTGGTTCTATATAAATTTAAGGATTGTTTTTTCTATTTCTGTGAAGAATGTCATTGGTATTTTGATAGGGGTTACACTAAATCCATAGAGCACTTTGGGTAGTGTGGACATTTTTAACAGTATTTATCTTTCCAATCCATTAACATGGAATATCTTTAAATTTGTGTCTTTTTCAATTTCTTTAATCTATGTTTATAGTTCTCCTTGTAGATATAGTCCACCTCCTTAGTTAAATTTATTCTTAAGTACTTTATTTATTTGTTTTTGATAGCTATTGTAGATGGAATGGTTTCCTTTTTATCTTTTTTGGATAGTTTGCTGTTAGTATGTATATAACTGCTGATTTTTGTTGTTAATTTTGTAGTCTACAACTTTACTAATTTGTTAATTAATTCTAATTTTTAGTGGAGTCTTTAGGGTTTTCTCTGTATAAGACTGTGTCATTTGCAAATAGGGACAATTTAACGTCTTTCTTTCCAATTTAGATGCTTTTAATTTCTTTCTGTTGCCTGATTGCCTTGGCTATAACTTCTAGTACTGTGGTGAATAAAAGTGGTGAAAGTGGGCATCCTTTTCTTCTTCCAGATGTTAGAGGAAAAACCTTTCAATTTTCCTGCCATTCAGTATGTTAGCTGTGGGTTTGTCATATATGGCCTTTACTGTGTTGAGGCACATTTCTTCTATACATAATTTGTTGAGAGTTTTTATTATGAAGACATGTTGAGTTTTGGAAAATGCTCATTCTGCATCTATTGAAATGATTATATAGTTTCTTTGTCCTTCATTCTGTTAATATGATGTATCACATTTACTGATTTGCATATGTTGAACCATCCTTGCATTTCTGGGATGAATCCCACTTGGTAATGGTGAATGATCTTTTTAATGTGCTATTAAATTTGGTTTGCTAATATTCTGCTGAGCATTTTTGTATCTATGTTCATCAGGGGTATTGGTCTGTAAGTTTTACTCTTTCGTTATGACCTTGCATGGTTTTGGCATCAGGGTAATGCTGCCTGAGAGACTGGATTTGGAAATACTCTCTCCTCTTCAATTTTTTGGGAAGAGTTTGAGAAGAATTGATATTAGTTATTCTTTAAATGTTTGGTAGAATTCAGCAGTGAAGCCATTCAGTTGTGAGCTTTTCTTTGCTGGAAGAGTTTTTTTTTTTTGACATGGAGTCTCACTGTGTTGCCCAGGCCAGAGTGCAGTGGCACGATTTTGGCTCACTGCAACCTCTGCCTCTTGGGGTCAAGTGATTCTTTTGCTTCACCCTCCAGAGTAGCTGGGATTACAGGCACGTGCCACCATGCCTGGCTAATTTTTGTATTTTTAGTAGAGATGGGGTTTCACCATGTTGGCCAGGCTGGTCTCAAACTCTTGACCTCAGGTGATCCACCTGCCTTGGCCTCCCAAAGTGCTGGGATTACAGGCGTGAGCCACTGCACCCAGCCAGGAGATTTTTTATTACTGATTCCATCTCCTTACTCATTATTGGTTTGTTAAGATTTTAGGTTTCTTTATAATTCAATCTTGGTAGAATGTGTGTGTCCAGGAATTTATTCATTTCTTTTACGTTAACTAATTTGTTCATGTATAATGGTTCACAGTAGTCTCTTATAATCCTTTGTATTTCTGTGGCATCAGTTGTAATTTTTCCTTTTTTACCTCTGATTTTATTTGAGTCTTTGCTCTTTTTTTCTTAGTGTAGCTCTAGGTTTGTCTATTTTGTTTATCTTTTCAAGAGACTAGCTCTTTGTTTTTATTGATATTTTTATGTATTTGTATTCTCTATTTCTGCTCTGCTCTCTATTATTTTCTTCCTTCTACTTGTTTAAGTTGTTTGGTTTTGTATTTCTGCTTCCTTGAGGTGCAACATTAGATTGTTTATTTGAGATATATATTTTTCGAGGTAGATGTTTATTGCTATAAACTTTCCTCTTAGACTGCTTTTGCTGTACCCATAGGTTTTGTTATGTTGTGTTTCCATTTTCATTTGTCTCAAGAAATGTTTTAATGTAATTAAATTAATAAATTTTTTACTTCAATAGATTTTGGAGTTCAAGTGGCTTTTGGTTATATGGATGAATTGTGTAGTGGTGAAGTCTGAGATTTCAGTGCACCTGTAACCCAAGCAGTGCACATTGGACCCAATATTTAGTTTTTTATTCCTCACCCCATCCTCCCCACTTCTGAGTCTCCAAATGCCATCATACCACTGTCTTTGTATACCTTTGTATACCTTTGTATACCCATAGCTTAGATCTCACTTATAAGTAGAACATATGGTATTTGGTTTTCCGTTCCTGAGTTGCTTCACTTAGAATAATGGCCTGCAGCTCCATCCAAGTTGCTGCAATACATTATTTCATTCTTTTATATGCCTGAGTAATATTCTATGGTATGTATATACCACATTTTCTTCTACCACGTTATCCACTCATTGATTGATGGGCACTTAGATTGGCTGTATATCTTTGCAATTGTGAATTATGCTGTGAGAAACATACATATGCAGTTGTCCTTTTAAGATAATGACTTATTTTCCTTTTGGTAGATACTCAGTAATTCAGTAGTAGGATTGCTGGATAAAATGATATGTCTACATTTAGTTCTTTAAGAAATCTCCGTACTGTTTTCCATAGAGGTTGTACTAATTTGCGTTCCTATATATAAGCATTCTTTTTTTCTTTTTTTAACCACATCCATGCCAACATCTATTGTTTTTTGGCTTTCTATTAATGGCCATTCTGGCTGGGGTAAGGTGGTGTATCATCCTGATTTTAATTTGCATTTCCCCAATGATTAGTGATGTTGAGCATTTTTTCATATGTTTGTTGGCCATTTGTATATCTTCTTTTGGAAATGTCTATTCATGTCATTTGCCCACGAAATATTTTAATTTATCTTTTAATTTATTTGCAGACCCATTGGTTGTTCAGGTGCATGTTGTTTAGTTTCAGTGTATTTGTTAATTTTCCGAAGTTCCTCCTGGTGCTGATTTCCAGTTTTATACCGTTGTGGTCTGAAAAGATACTTGGTATGATTTCAGTCTTCTCAAATTTAATAAGACTTGTTTTGTGACCTAACATATGAGCTCTCCTACATAATATTATGTGTGCAGTTGAGAAGAGTGTGTATTCTGCATCTGTTGGGTAGAATGTTCTGTGTATGTGTATTTGGTC